ATGTTCACTTTCCCTCCTCCTCCCCGATCTCCCCTCACTCTCCTCCACCCTCTCACCACCTAACTCTGACCCCTGATTAAGGTACTAAACCACAACACTTGAGCATCATTCTGACGAAGTTACATCGGGGTGGAGAAGATTCCTGTTAGTTCTAAATGGGGAGGGGGCTCTACACTCACATTTTTAACATCCCCATGACGTGTACTTGTGGGACCATTTGTTCAGAACTCCGAGCAGAGTGTTCCTTTTCTGATGAAACCTCTCCCACCATGAATGATGCATGAACAGATTTCACAAGCCGCCCCCGTATCCCCACAGAATTGGTTCAATCCTGATTGATAATTGCCTTTGTTAAGCGGGTTAGGACCCTACCACTTAATGGAGCTCTATTTTCGCGCTCTATATTTGGAATTGAAATGTTTTCGAGCGCTATACCAGCGCTTTCTTGACTGTCATTGCTTCCAATGACAATTAAACTAAACTCCAATTGCTTCTCAGAATAAAGCCCTTTCTCGCCCCCCCCCCTCCTCAAGCCATAAATCGCCCACGATTTGCATGCATTTCCTCCGGCTTGAAAAGCATTGAGTTTAGTCGCTGCGCTCTAATTTAGCACTTAATGAAGCTCTTTTCAGTTCATCAGCCTCGGCCGCATCAGACCAGCCATGGCCACGGAGGTGGTTGGGGAACCGGCGGTGGTTGGGGCAGTGGAGGACGGCAACAGCATGGTTAGTGCAACATTCTCTGCTGTGTGTTCATGCCCCTTCTCAATCTGTGGGACGTTACATTCACGGTGCGGCGATGTTGGCGGAAGAGTCGACACGTGCGTGACATTCGCACCAGAACCTAATTGGTGTTGAAAATCAGCATATTGGTTCAGCTAGCAAGGGAATACAAGCAAGTTCAGGTTCATCGTTGCAGCGTGGGTGTAACGCGCATTGCAAAATCGACAAAATTTGCGACCCGCGCTCCCCAGCCCGGGCCAGAGAAAGCTTGGACATAAAAGTTAGGCGACACCATGAAGTATGCAAGAATTTTCCTTCTTTCAGGTGTGGGAGGTGGATGGAGTGGTGGACGGTCGAGCAGTCCAAAGTGAGTCAACTGCCTTCAATAATTTATTTAACTTCGGTTACTTCAACGCGAACTATATGGGCCAGTGAAAAATCAAAAGTCCCAATAATTCTGAACGAAATCACCATCATATCCTCAAAGTAGTTCATTGAGCAACTTCCTCTTTTTATTTCGAGGCTTAAAGTCGCATTGCGCTATGAATGGATGGGCGGGGACTCACGAATATCGTTGCTCCTTCAGTGTTGTTGCCGTATTAGAAGAAGAGGCGCACCAATGAGGACTCACATGAAGTCTCCGCCCATTTCCCCGCTCGTTCCCACTTCGCGCAATGTGCCTTTAGGGCACTGATGCAGGAAAGCTGCTGATATGCTCCTCTGGTTATTAAAGACACATGGTACGCTCAAACACATTGAGGGTGTATGAGACTATCAGCCCCCCAGCTGTCGATGTGTCGTGGTCCCCCGCCCAAACATGCCCAGGAATGGAGATACAGGACCGTGAAACACGCTAATTCCTCCATGCTCCGCCTTACACCTTTTTGCGGCGCAGATTCCCGTCCTTCATAACATCCTTGGCACTTTGCCAAGTCCTTTAATTGCGCTCTCAAATACAAGTAAAACGCAATTTCCTGATGCGGATAACATTGGAGGTGCTACAAAATAAGAACAGAAGATGATGACGAGGGCCAGAACTCAAGAGCAACTCGGCTGCATCTGCAGTATCCAGGCGCGCATTCCCTCAACTATCCATCACGATGCCGTGCATTCCACCAAGAACATGAGAATAAAAAACAAGCCCATAGCTTTTCCACTCGTTCTGTCCTTGAAGTATTTGATTTAATCATCAATTTGCCTTTCCTTGATTTTTTCATTTTTATTTCATTTACATTTACATCTTGTGCTTCATTTCTAGCCTGTGTCATCTTCATCTCCTTGTACATGGATTTCTTGAAGCGAATAGAGAAACCCTAAAAATTTTTATTTGCATCAGGAAATTGCGTTTTGCTTGTATCAAATAACGAGTATGCCGTTTTATTTTCATGTTTCGTGGAAATACGCGGCCTCCGAGGGATGTTGCAGAAGTGGCCACAGTTGCTTTTTCAAGTTCTCCTGGGGGACCCTCGTCGATTCACTTTCTTTTATTGCAGCACTTCCAATGTTTATCCGCCCATCAGAGAACAATATGCGTTTTACTCATGTAGTGAAGCCAAATTAAAGACTCGGCAAAGTGCCTAAGGGAGGGCGCTACGCCGACACCGCGCGCTATTGCGACGGATGTTATGAAGGACACGGGAAATCTGCGCCGCACAAAAGGCGGCTGTAGGCGGCAGCATGGAGACATTCAGGCGTGTTCCGCGTCCTGTATCTTCATTCCTGGAGCATGTTTTGGGCGGGCGTGGACACACACATGCGATCAACTGGTGGGCCCGGCGTGAATGTTTCATACACCCTCAATGCCTGTTGAGCGTACTATGGGGCTTGTAAAGTCAAGTTACTGTTCAACCAACCATTTTCATAAGAAGCGGCCTGTTCCGAGTGACAATACAATGAAGAACTTCACACCCACTATAAGCCTGAAATCGGAACTCTTTCTATTTCTAATCAGATGAGCCATTCTGCCAGAAGTTGCCCTGCCCTTCCAACAATCAAATATGAACATGAATTGTGCAGTGATTACTGCCCAGCATCTGAATGCGCCAAACCTTCAGGTCTCATCGCCGTTGATCGTTTGCACGTAGATAACTAGGCAATCGGCTCTGGCGGACACACCTCATTTCCGCGATACCAAGTGGGTGGAGACTCTCAGCATTGTTGCCTCGAAGCTGCCTTCTCTCGACAACAGTGCAAAGAACAGCGCCGAGAGGCTCGTGTCAAAGAGGATGGACATCAGTGAGCTCATCTGGATATACTCGTGATGATTAGTGAACTTCTCTATGAATTTGAAATGATTTGCAGAACTACCAAGATGACGAGAGAACTAGAGGTTTAAAGCAAAAGTACTTTTTGAAGCGTTTTCTATAAAATTGAGAGGATAGACAATAAATAGATACAGAAGAAAAAAAAGAAGTATAAGCATCCAGATCTTATTGAAATACACATCTGATATCGTTGCAGTGCGGCGATATGGAGTCAGAAGGCGTGAGATAAATTCATCCGCAGCGTTTTCCACTGTTGATTGTTTTCTGGCTCTACTGGATGCCATTGGTGGAAAACGCAGCCGCGGATGGGCACACTCCAGGCCTCCAGACACCACTCCGTCGGATTGTGGCTAATAAACTATACTTGTTGGAAAAATGAATTGTAAATGTGATGGTGAAAATTTGAGGTCAGGCGGATTGGGTAAGCTCCTCGGCGTAGGCGGAAGACGTCATCATCACGGAAGTCATAGGTCAATTACCCAGTTACTTTCTAGAATGTTCTCTATATGTGTAATCCAAAGTCCATGTCCCTAGACTGCCACTAACACTGTTCAGAGTGCTTTATTAGGAGTGAGCGGATTCAGCGTTGAATATTTTCAGAGCGATATTTCTATAATTTCAGATTCTCATCGCATGGAATCGGTTCACGATCACGTTCGAATACGTTCAAGAATATGATCGTTGGCGCAGCGGCCGGTTATCTCACCTATCAGGCTGGCAGGGCCATTATTCGATCGATGGCTGGGCCAATGATGTAAGCTATTGGATAATACTAATTAATAGAAACGACTACTGGGGGGAAAAATATGTCATTGGGAGCAATCTGACCAGTTGTGGGAGAACCGCCCACAGCGGGCAGGGCTCCACATTATCACCTTCTTTTGAGCTCCTCAGCTCCACCCCACATCCCTACTACAAGAGAGCTCACTGAGTACATTGACAAAGTACATGTGTAGTTGAAGAATGTGGGAACCACCCATTGTAGACGGAGTCCCACCGAGTGGCTTGTAAACCGTTTTTTCAGGTGGAATAACCGTCCGTACTACTGGGGATCGAATTATTATCGGCCGCAACGTGGGCAGGAGAACATGTGCCGAATGCCGATTGATCCATCTGATCCACAGTTCGGAAATATCTATCAACCGGTGCGTCATTTAAAAACTGTATTTTAATCCTTCATAGCGCTCCTTAACTCAGACCCCAGCGCCAAGGCGTATGAGTTACATCCATATTTCGGCAACGGACACAAGATAGCTGGTATTGCCTCGCAGACTGAGTCGACCAAGTGCGGTACTTCCACTTCAGTTATTCAGGTCTTAGTGTGAGTGACGCGCATGTGACGCTGCATCGGCGCGTCGGCGCATCACGGTAACCCTCAACATCCGCAGCGTCAAAGCCGGCTCGGATATACTGGTTTACCAGACTCCCAAAATCTCTTCTCTTCACTTATACCCGTAAAACTACTCTATGTACTGTTTGAGAATGGAGTCAGTGTACGGGCATGTCGTACGTTGGGGAATCAGCGGGGAGGGATCGGCGCGCTAGATACCCCCTAGCTGGTTTGGCGCACCAAATGTGGTCGCTTCTCAGCCACATGATTGATGGAGATTGGAATGGTGCCGCACCTAGCTCAGCCCATTTGAAACGCCTCACCAGCCGCAGCGAACAAGGGGACCCAATGCGGGGATTTGTTTGTAAGATAGGGTTCTGTCGAAAGAGCGAATTTGGCGGGATTGTAATTTGGACCAAGGCCAGAACGTGTACTGGTGTCGCATCTTAAAGACGAGTGGCAAGATAAATCCTTTGGGGACGGGCTGTAGACTAATTGACGCCCAGCAGAGCGCGAGGAATTTCGCCACCCGGCTGAGCAGTATTGCTGCGTCGGCCATGGTTCCAAGGGAGAGTTACCCTTATAAGGCGTCCTATCATCCGTGAACCCTACGAAGACCCGGACGGCCGCACCGCTCTTCGGCTTCGAACACAAAAGTTCTGGACGCTCGATGGTTTTCTGAGGTTCGATATCGCTTCATTTGCCAAGTACAATGAAAGCGAAGGATTGATGTCGAAAACGGGCGCTACGGTACACTGCATCGGATACCACATCACACACGACATAGCCGAACACAGCGACAGGACACAACAGCGCACCCACAGCACACACACACACACACACACACACACACACACACACACACACACATGGCACACACACACACACACACACATGCAGCCGTATCTACCATAGGAGCGATTGGCACAACGGGGAACTCGTCCTAAGCTGTTTTGTGAGTCGTGTAGAACGAAAGTTTTTTTTGCAGGTTTTTGACCGTTTCACTTCGCTTTTTCGCCATTTCCCCCACTATATAGCACCCTGCTACCATTTTAGACCGAGTACCCATTTATGCCTTTGAATATCTAGCTTCAACTATTCACATTAAACCCCAAATTTCCAGGACGGCGTAACTCGTCCACATGAGATCGTATGGGGATGCGGTTATTACGAATACTGTTGTGGCTACGAGTGCTGTCGTGGCGGTGGAGCGTCACGAATCGGTGGCTACGGTGCCTCTATGGGGTACGCGTTCGCGATCATCTACATCGCTCGAGCTTACCTAGTCTGACGTGCTGTTGGGCTGCGAACAATCTCGGCTGTTTCTCACAGAGTTTGCCGTGTGTCAACTATCCCCCGGCTATACAACCAAATCTCAAAACGAGTAATCGGTGTACTTAATACTGAGTAGCCTGATTTTTTTGGCCAATTTTGTTGTTTTCTTACAGTCATCTGTTTCTACCATAATTTAGCTTTTTGTTTACTTACTTTCTTTCATGATACACTCGAGGAATCGTGGTAGATGTAGTGCATGACTTTTCTAACTCTCAGAGCTGGACAGTGCGTCTTGTTTTGTTTCGTAGCGGCCGTTTTCATAAACCCGTTCCATGATTAGGAATGGGCGGGGCGTGTTGTGGTTGCCTCAAAATGTGTAAAAAAATGTGAAGTTCATGTTTCTAGCTGCCCGAACTGGAAAGTAGGCAGTGATGCTGAATGAAGGCGAAACTTCCTACGGTGGCCATTATGCTGGGCGAGATTGCCCCCCCCCCAAATAAGCATGGCTCCGTGTGCCTTTTTGACCAACGGTTGGCCAAATTCATCGATAATGACATCCAGACTTGCGTGGCGGCTTTCCGATCTGGGCTGTGTAGTTTTCACGGGCCAAAAGGGGCTGAAGGGGCATCCGGCTGTGGTTGAAGGGACATCTGTTGCGCCACTATGCTAGGTCGGTTCTGCTTGTCTGCATCCTCTCACCGCACAGAGAAGAAGAAGAGCATATTCTCATTCCAAAGCAAGACTTGGGATGGCAAACCAGACAAGACACTACGTGACACAGCCCACCGCCGCAATGCCCCTCCCAACTACCTTTACTCCCTGGAATGCGAAGAACTTTCAACTAGTGGACAGCCAACATTTAGCGCGGTGAGAACGACCGCTAGCCTCGAGTGCCTTTCCCTGAGCATTTCTTTGCGCTCTATCGTTGCTCAACACTTCCTCATTCACAAGTTCAACCAGTTGTCGTCTCCTTGGTTTTTTTTGTCTTTTTTATCAGCTTGTGTTTGCTGCATGATATTCTTAATCCGATATTGCCATATGATTTGTTGTGTATAGATCTGCACTTATGTTGTTTTGTATTTCAGATATTGAAGATGTCCCCCCGGTGTTTCATGATCCGAACACATTGTATAAACTTCATGAAGTTATCAATCAATATTTTATAGATGTGCAAAAATAAATAATTTAACAATCATTGGTTTTTAATCACAGAAATGAGCGGGTCATTGAAAGTAATACAATATTATACGTAAAGTTGCAACCTTCCAGCCGCAAAAGTCATTTATAATTTTTTGCCTACATTACAACGCGTGCACAAAACGAAAGCACTACCTTTAGTGGTGAGCTAGCCTAACATGTCCATCCATTGACTAGTCCCCATAGATTTCTTTTCGGCAGCATCTTTCATCGAGAGTACTTACGTATTTGGGGTGATCATTAGTCCTTAATTGCTTGGCGGCAAATTAGAAATAGAACAGCTTGACGTCTGCCTTTCGAATATCAAGCAACAATTAAAAAAAATGGTTCGGTGATTCCGTCCAGAACCGTGCGCTCAATGAATATTCTAGCTCCTTTTATGTTTTAACCATGCACTGTGTTCACTCCCTTGCGGGGGAGGAAGTATCAAGATTGTATTCCTACAATGAGAGCTCGTTCAGAAGCGAGCGGAGCCTAGCTCCGCCCACACTAGGACGAGTTTCCATGGGAGCTGCAGAAACACATAGATCATATCAGAACGTTTACGCGTGTAGGAAACTAGTCCCGAATCTAGTTTTTTTTCCGAATTTCACGTCTAATCGCCCTTAATCGGGCGCGTTCAGACAAACACTCGATTTTTTTCAAACACTCCACCGTTAAAAGTTTTTGACAGTGACTTCAGCACTGCGAATAAGGCTTTCACCGCTTCCTTGAGCAATTTTATCGCATACATAGCAGATTGAATATCAATCAATGCGCGAAAGATATCCAACTACTGAAAGATCACCTGTAGCCCATATCAGGGCGCTGTTCGGCTCACGAGGAGCGGGACATTTGCTAGCCTTTTTTGGCAGTTCCTTTGAGAATACACGCTCACCCTGGTGAGATGTGCACACTTCAAGTCAGACGACGCCCCTCCTATAGCATAGGAATCTACACGTCTCCGCAAAAAGGCTAGGCCATAACCAGTCGGAACCAGCAAAACGCTCCTACCAAGCCGAACTGCGTCCATATCTGACCCACATCCTACCTAAATCACATGAAGACCAGCCGATCAAAGTCACATCTGCCTAGACGGTGTCCTTTCTGGCCGTTAAGCCCACTCGTCCAAAATGATGTCCATACACATGCGCATCGGATTTGATAAATGTCAGTACTGAATGGATCGTCACATCATTCCTTGAGTCCTCCTGAAAATATTTTCAATCAAATCTGTTCAACTTGGCTGCTGCAGTAAACTTGAGCTTTATTGGTATCCCAAATCCTATTATTCGCCACACACAGGGCTCCCATTA